GCACCTCCCCCGTCGGCTGTCTGGCACGGAGACGCCCGAGAGGCACCTGGGAGAGGCCCCTCGCCAGCGGCGAGCTCGGGCCCGTGAATGCGCAACCAGCCGTCCCTGAGCAGTCGAACACCTGACGGATGAAGCCAGTAGTCGCGACCGCGGCTGGATGCGAACGGCACGTAAGTGACGCCGTCGGGCGGTGGCTCGGGAGGCATCGGCCCTAACGACTCGAGCTCGAGCTCGGACACTTCGAGGTCGATAACCAAGATTTCTGCCGCGGCGGCGAGGGCCGACGCCGCCCCTAGGAGCGGCGCGCTTGTCACTTGGCACGGCCCTAGCAGGCCTGAGTAACCCCCTTCCATCGGCTTCTCCGAGGGCAGCGGCATCCCTGAAGGCAAGGGGCAAGGCGAGTAAAATACCGCCTTTGCGGCGCCCCAGAGGAATGGCTGCATACGCGTGCTCGTATTCGCCCAGACGCCATCGAGCGTAAGTGTTGGCGCTGGGAGGGTCGAACGCGTGGAGGTCGGGCCAGACGGGCCCTTCTGGAATGGCGGCGTCGGCACCGCCAGTGGCAGCACCCATACGAGGAGCGAAGAGAAGACAGGCCCCTGAGGGACCCGACGGGGCGCACCCCGACCAGGCAGTGCCTGGGCTGCCCGAGGGCAGAAGAGGAGAGGCTAGCGCCCCTCGGCCCCAGCAGGGCGAGGAAGCACGTCAGGGCGGTTGCCCGCCGCCCTGGCCCGCGCTTCCGCGCGGCGCTCCCCGTAGACGGGGGCAGCAGGAAGTGCTCTGAGAGGATCCAGGCGCACTGCCAGCTGAGGCTGGGGGGCACGATAGCGCCCAACCCAGCAGCGGAGCGCAAGCGCTCCGACGCAGCAGCCGCCGAAACAGCAGCAAGCTGCGGTGGCCACCAATGCGGCGACCACGCTGGAGAGCAGGAGGGGCGTCAGCCCACTGCTCAAGTCCACCGCCAGCCCGAGGCAGACGGTGGGCGGCGGAGGCCCAGGGGGCTGGGAAGGGCACGTGCCCCCTCCCCCGCCCTCAGGGCCCCAGCCGAGGGGCCAAGAGCTGCCCGCAGGGGGCGAGCCCTCGTCCCACGGAAGGGGTTGGCCAACGAGGCGCTCGTAGAGCACGCCCCGCAGCCGCTGGTAGGCGAGCACCCCGAGTCCTTGTGCGAGGAACTCGGGGGCCGCTTGCATGCGCCAGGGGGGGCTCGGCCGACAAACCCGCGCGCGCGCGTCCTTGTGGGCCGAGAAGCTGCAGGACGCCTGCGGGGCGATCGCGGCGGGGATAAGAGGTAGCATGAGGAGGAGGAGGAGGAGGAGGAGGAGGAGGAGGAGGAGGAGGAGGAGGAGGAGGAGGAGGGAGGAGGGAGGAGGAGGAGGAGGAGGAGGAGGGGAGGAGGACGAGGAGGAGGAGGAGAGGAGGAGGAGGAGGAGGAGGAGGAGGAGGAGGAGGAGGAGGAGGAGGAGGAGGAGGAGGAGGAGGAGGAGGGGGAGCAGGAGGGGTCGTCTGAGCCCTTCGGAGACGCCCCGAACGCGAGCTCGGGGGAGCCAGACGACTCCGCGAGCAGATCTCCCCTCGGGGCCGGCCCCCTGGCGCGGACGAGCCCCCTGCGGCGCGAGGAGCTGGGCTGCGAGAGGGCGCGCGGGCCGGAGGGGGGAACGTCAGGGGGGGGGGATTGGCTCGGAGGATCGCCGACCCCTCGGCGATGTCTCGCCGACAGCTCGGCGACATGCCCCCGACCACGAATCCGCGCGATCGGGCCCTCGTCGGCGATGAGTGAGCCCACGCCCCCCCCGTGACGTTGCCCCCGAGTGCTGCGCACGGCGCGCTCACCAGGAGCAGGGAGGCGGCTCCGCCACGGGGGCGGCACCCCAGTCATCCTCGTCTGCGGGCGTCGGCTTGGCCTTCGGCTTCGCCTTCGCCTTAGCCTTGGCCGCGGACGCCTCCTTGGAGCACTCGCCCTTGTAGAAGGCCAGGATCATCTGCAGCTCCTTGGCGGCGTCGCCGACGGCCGCTGGCGGGCCGCGGAGCTCGAGCCTGCCCACGGACTCGAGCGCGCCGTCCTTCACGGCGACGTGCTTGTTCTGCTCCAGGATCCGCAGGTCTCCCCTGAGCTGGGCGAGCAGCTGCGGCGGCCAGGACGCGACGGGCGGATGCGGAGGAGGAAAGAACAGCAGAAACGTCAGCCTTCGGAGCCCTCCCCGCGGATTTCTTGGAGCTGCGCTGGGCCTCCTCGCTGGCGCGCGGGGCGCGCCGGGGGCGGGCCCCGCGCCGATCGAAGAACTCCGCCCGGAGCTCCAAAAGCTCACCTCTGCGCGGCTTTTTCCTCGTCGAGGCTTGACGTCAACGAACTCGGACGTCGCTCCCTCCTCTCGGGGAGATGCAAGACTCGTGTACCTGACTACCTACCAGACCACCCCAACCCAACCCGAAGGCCCGAATTTGACCCGAATTTCGGGTTGGGGGGGGTACGGATTCCATGTGTTTTTTCAACGTTCCCCGACCCCCCCCCCACTGGAAATGGACGGCAAATTGAGGCCTTCGGGTTGGGTTGGGGTGGTTTGGTAGGTGGTGAGTACCGGGGACTCGGGTTGGCCTGACGGGGGCCATCATGAAAATGACGATGGCCCAATCTGAAATCTGACGCAGGCTCCCGCGGCAGACATATCCCACGAGAACTGGGCCGTCAAAATACAGGACGCGCTCGCCCAAAAACTGCCTGCAGACCCGAGTTCCAGCCTGTTCGAGTCTTACGTTTTCCCGATCCTTCTCGTCCAGCCAGGCACGGAGGAGCTCCGCGGCCTGGTCCACGCACTCCTCGTCGCCCCGGATGCATATCACGCCCCCGCCGGCGTGCCCACCCGTCCGCAGGACCTCCACGAGCGCCGCAGTGTCGGCCTCGACGTCCTTGGCCTTGGCCTTGGCGGCGCCGACGAGGCTCTTGGGGCAGTCCAGATCCTCCCGGCCTTGGAAGATAAACTTCAGCAGGCTCGCCGCCTTCTCCGCCGCGGCCGGTGGGCCAGTGACGCGGACGCCGGCGTCGCCCTTCGAGATCTCGACACCGTGCTTGGTCGATATCCGAGTGAACTCACCGCGGCTGTCCATGAGCCGCAGGGTGGTGGGGTCATCACAGGCCACCGCGGTCTCGAAGTTCGACTCGAGCGCGGCCAGCGCTTCCTTGAGTCTGGCCAGCGACTCCTTGCTGCCCGCGTAGTGCAGCACCCCGCTCTTCACCTCCAGCTCCGCGCCGCCGCTTGCCCTGCGCAGCTGCTCGACCCCCTCGGTGGCCGCGTCGCCGTCGCAGAGCCGCGCTCTTGCGAAGCCCGACAGGGCGATGCTCTCCTCGTGCAGCGCCGCGGGGTCGGAGAGGCCCAGCCTGGAGGCCCGGTGCAGCTTCTCCACGGCCCTCGCCGCCACCTCGCACGCCTTCTTGAGGCTGCCCGAGTCCTTCTCCAGCCCCTCCCGCTTCTTCAGGAGCTCCCTCACGGCGTTCTGGGCCGCGATGCTCTTCTCGCCCCGCCTGGCAGCGATCTCGGCCTCCAGCTCCTCCAGCTGGCCCTTCTGCTGGGCCTGGCGGGCCTCGAGCTCAGCGCCTCGGCCTTCGACGGCCTCCAGCAGCGCCCGCAGGGGCGCCATGGCGAGGCCCCGGGCGCTGCGCTTCGCGCGCACCGCGCGCGCGCGCCGCCGATCCCTCGCGAAATCGGCTCGAGCCGAGGCGCGGGTGCACAAACGAGTCGCACACCGACCGCTTGATGTTGCTCGACGGTGGCACTGCCGCAGCGGCACCCGCTCGGCTCGATGCTGGCCCTGTTGGCTCGCGCACGCGCCGTTCGCATCGCGAGCCACACGCGAAAGATCGCGAAGCGGGTCCGCATCCCGATCGGGAGAAACGAAGGCCGATGCTGCACTGTGCAGCGCTGTACCGCCCAAGCTCTGTGACGGCATTTAGACGCTCTGGAAGATCGGGGCGGCCCGTGGCATTGATGACTGAAGAAAGGTGGAGAATGATTGGTTCGGATTAAGGGACAGTCATGCGCAGCCCAACTGGGACACACGATCTGCAGTACTGAATGTGTGCCAGATGTACGCACAGCTTCCGAGTATCCCTGCTGCGTTCACGGATCGACGCTCACATTTGCAAACACTGGCCAAAGACAGTCTTAGCCAGCGTGAGCCCCAAACAGTGCGCGATTGCACTGTGGAAGCGGAAGCTATGCGGTGCAAGCTACGCGGTGAAAGCTATGTCGTGTAAGCTATGTGGTTTGAGTAATGGATGAAAACTATGCGGCTACGTGGAGAAATACATGTCATGTAAGCTATGCGGTGTGAGTTGGAGGCGGAAGCCATGGGGTGTAACCTATGTGATGCAAGCTTTGTTGTGTAAGCTATGCGGTGTACGCAATTTGGGCCGCTCACGAGGTGCCCACGAGGCGGCACGAACGGAAACGAGGCCCAACCTCGGCATACCCCGACGAGCCGGCACGGATCCGAAACGTGGTGAAAATCCGAAGACCCAACCAATTACTTAACGAAAGTAAGGAAGACCCCCTACGAGCAAGCACTTCTTGAATGGGGATCTGTTAAGCACCTACGCCCCTGAACTATTTTGAGAGCGACTCGACAGCAAGAGTCCAGGAGTTACATGCTGGGCTCAAAACTCAAACAGTAACGACGCTGAAGAACTCACATCTCATGGAACAGGGCGGGCATGCTCTTGGTTGAGACCGCACGCGACTCGGCGGCGGCGCCACCGCTGCCGACAACTACGACCACAACGACGACAACGACGACGACCACCACGATGACGACGAAGACGACGACAACGACGACGACCACCACGACGACGACGACGAAGACGACGACGACGACCACCACGACGACGACGACGACCACCACCACCACCACCACGACGACGACGGCGGCGGCGGCGGCGGCGGCGGCGACGACCCCTTCGGCGCCTCAGCCTGGGCCGCCGAGGGCCGCCGGGGGCCGCCGAGGGCCGCCTCAGTAGCAGGCAGCCGCCGCCGCGCGAGGCCAACTGCAGCAGCGCCACCGAACAGCCGTGGGGGCCGCCGGACCACTCGGTGTCGATGCCAAGGGCGCCGCCGCTCTCGGCGCCCGCGGCGGCAATGCGGCGCAGGGCGGCCTCGCGGGCCGCCGAAGAGCCGCTGGAAGGGCCGCCGAAAGGGCCGCCGAAGGGCCGCCGGAAGGGCCGCCGAAGGGCCGCCGAAGGGCAGCCGAAGGGCCGCGGAAGGGCCGCCGAAGGGCCGCCGAAATGCCGCCGAAGGGCCGCCGAAGGGCTGCCGAAGGGCCGCCGAAGGGCCGCCGAAGGGCCGCAAGGCCGCCGAAGGGCCGCGGAACGACCAGCGAAAAAGCTGTCGAAGGGCCGCCTGGCCGCAGAAGGGCCGCCGAACAGGCCGCTGGTCCTGGAAGCCCACGAGACAGCTGGACTGGGAGGCCCAAGAGGCTGCTGGCCCTGGAAGACCACTAAAGTACGTGG